TCATTTTTTTTCTCCTTTTTCTTTTCTTTTTTTCATTATTTCTTACATTGTTTCCTTTTTTGAAATCGTTGCTCTTTCTTTTGAACATCTTTTTTTTCTTTGATTCCTTAATCGACCATCCCAGCAGACACGTTTATGGTGACTTGTTTCTAATGAAGGACAGATGAAATCAGAAACAAGGAATCCATAACCAATGTCTAAAAAGAAACTGCTAACGTCTACAAAAATAAGAAATAACCACTTGTAGAAATTGTATTGTCCAATCTAAAACATGATATAAAAAGCCATAATAGCAAGGCTGGAGACAATATTTAAAAATGACATGATCTTGATAGTAGAGGGATGAAGGTAACAAAAAAAAAAAAATAATAATCTGATTGCATAATAAGAAGAAAGTTTAGTGTCGCGGCTGCTGGAGATTTGTACATAAAAGTTTCCTAATCACACCTTACAAGGATATGAATTTCTTGCCTGCCATGAGATTCTGTCACTTATTTGTTTGTTCGATTTTGTATACTGTTTTTATTTGCTCCTTACGTTGACCTCCATTTTACATGCTGCAGGCAAAACTGCTGCACATTGTTTTGTCAGGGAAAAAAAACGGATATGTCTGCCATATTCAAGCATTTGTTCACATTTGAATCATAGATTCTTTGGCAGGAGATAAAGTGGGGAAAAACACAGCCCACAGGATGTCTTTAGAATGGAAACGCCATAAAACTCATATTATGTTTCTATTATCATGTTTACTATTTTATCTGTTTATTCATGCGATTACTTTGTATTTGCGTATCCATTAAACTCTGAGTTAGTTAACTTTTATCTGAATTTCTGGTTTGAGAAGATATGGCCTGGTGGGAAAAAAAAAGTGTTGGTTTGTTAAGTTGGTGGCATAGTGACTGGGAGTTAAATCCCTGGCCTGGGTTGTACAGACTTAGGTTCAGTTGAAACAGAACAAGGAATAACCGAAAAGGACTGAAAAAAACAAGATGAGATATCCTTCAAACTACATTACTTATTCCAACTATATATATATATATATATATATATATATATATATATAATAAAAAGGCTTAAACACTAATATTCCATGGTCATAATTTATTCGATTGGAATCGTAAATGATCCAATTCATCAGACCTACGAATTCAAATATATTTTCCACTAATATTATCTATCTATCTATCTATCTATCTATATATATATATATATATATATATATATATATATATATATAGTTGACTCTCCCATCAAATTTGATGTATGAGGGTCAAGCAGATTAGTTCCCAGGAAACCGACAACCTGACAACAGGACATGAGATTTGATTATGGTGGTGAAGGTTTTGTGCAAGACCATCCACACTTTTTGAAGGGATGAATACAGAGACCTGGTGCACTAAGTGCCACAAGGCCGCCAAACGACCCTCCGCAGGTTTTGAATTCAGAGTTGTCCTTCTCCTAGACCAGTTGCCATCCAAGGCTATAGAACACTGTCTGTCCTGCTATTTTACCCATAACTGGAGGGAGAAGAAGAGGATTCACACCTTTCACAAGGGTATTAGCACGTAAGTGAATGTAATGGATTCAATTCGAATTTGAACTCGGCTTTCCGATTCCTGAATCCAAGCCGCTATCCATTACTCCACCGTGCCTCCTATATATATATTTATGTATGCATGTATATTTATGGTCCCTCACATCTAGGACCTGCCATGCTATTGACATTGTAACAAACCACACTAGCTCCCTGTGTGTTCAAATGGTAAGAAGTTCCACTTGAGCAGCTTCTTCCCATGAACCATTGCTCTGTTGAACCAACTCCCAAGAGAATGTTTTCCTGATCAATAATTTAAAATTGTTCAAGTCTATGGTTAATTTTTATCTTCCTCACATATCACCATAAACTGTGCCTTATAACCCTCTACCTAAAGTGGCACCCAGGCCTTGTATAAGGTGGATTTCACTATAAAAAGTTAAATTCTGACAATAGAAATTGTCTTGCATGATACAGTGACCCAATTTTTCTAGCAGAAGGCTTAGCAATTAACTAAATATAATTGCTCCAATTCACGTCAGTGGAAAATGTTATGTATGTATATATATATATATATATATATATATATATATATATATATATATATGAAAATTTCTCAGAGTTAACCTGTAGAAAAGACAATATTTATAAATATAAATGACAATAGGAAAACTGCCATTATGACAAAGATTATTTAAGACATTTTGTCTCAATTAATTTTACTGATCAAAACTTATAAATTATGAATAATCCTTCTCACACGAGAAGGAAATTCTTTCAGAAATTGTCTGAAGGTCATTTTGGGCAAAAAGTACAATAAATATGGTCAATAAATAAAGTAAGAAATAATCAATGACAAGAAAATTTTCTTTGTGTCCCACATATGTTTTGACTGACCTTTCAACCACCTGATGAATATTCATGAATGCACTCAAATTTAAAAGCCTTGCTAAACCAATGACATCCTTGCTCTTGTATATAAACACGTGCAACAAAATAACTCCTACATTTAGCTTGATAAAGACCCTCAGAGGATAAAACACAGCAGTTAGGAATAGTTTTTCCTCTTATCTTTTTATTCATATATATATATATATATATGTCGCCCACAGAAAGGCTGGTCTAGTATTGTACTTAGGAAAGCACAAATGAAATATGTCTTTCCCTTACCTGATTTTCTCCACATTAGCTCCTGCTAGCATGCATGTGTAAAACGAAAGACACAATCCACTGGTGACCCTCATTTATCATTCACAATTGGAGAGTCTTATATATATATATATATATATATATATATATATATATAACAGTGGCAAGTCTGACGGTTGTCTTGTTGGGCTTAGCTCAAGTGATTCAGCATCCAAGTATGTCTATTTCAAAGCAACAAAATAGTGCATTGTTTTCATTCTTGACTTCAGATGGATCCAAAATTAATTGTTTTAACTCCATGCCTCAAAATATTGACCAAAATAAATGTTTTCAATAAAGAAGAAAGAAAGAAAACAAAAAAGTAAGTAAGTAAACAATAATGAAATAAAATTAACATGGCTAGTTGGGCTACATAGATCTGAGTTGGAGACATTTAATTGACAATGTAGTTCTTGCTCTAATTTTACAAATAATCTTTTAAAAAACTCTAATGACTAGTATGCTCTGTTTTTCAAAGAATACATTTTTATTTCAACTTATTCTTTTCAAATGTCCATTTTAAATAATTCATTCCATACAGTATAAGGATTTGTAGCACAATGTATCAATTGAAAAAAGGCAAATGACTGGGTTAGTGTTGAGGAAATATGATATTTGTCAGCAATACTGATCATAAAAGTTCACAGACAGAGAGACACATAAACATACTAATGCATATATACAAACACACACAAGATAGATACACAAGTTATTTAAAAAAACATATCTGGCTAGAGATTTTAAGAAATTATATATTTTAGTTTGAGTAAAGGAAACATTTTAGCATCTAAGTTAAACAAATAATATATTTTGTTAAAGATTGTAATGAGGTCAACAAACATTGATGATGTAGAATTGCTACTGATATATATATACACACACACACACACACATATATATATATATATATATATATATATATATATATATATATATATATATACACACAACGATAGGATTAGTGTATATAGAATATATTCCAATAATCAAAAAAACTATTTTTAAAAGAGTGCTCAATACAGAGTAGAGCAAATATAATTTATTTGAAAATTATAACATAAATATGTTATAAAATCACTACAAAAATATCCATTTTGTTTCAACACTTCCAGTGTCTTATCAAGTGATGGTATTGAATTCTACATTTAACACAATCACTTGATAAGACACCAGAATTGTTGAAACAATATGGCTATTTTTGTAGTGATTTTATAACATATTTATGTTATAATTTTCAAATAAATTACATACATAAATATATATATATATGTGTGTGTGTGTGTGTGTGTGTATTGAAACTACATCTCTGTCCACACACTATCATCTGCATCTTTGGAAGCACTGAACTTATTGCATTTCTGTTAAAAGATTACAAAGAATTTTTAACCTAAAACAACATCAAAATTCTTATAGATTTTCAGTTCAATACATAGACGTATTTATATAAAAATAAATGCAAAATATCTCAAGATTAATGTAATTAAAGATATTCTACAATTGCTAATTAAAAAGTAAACAAAATTCAGCTACAAAGTCAATATATTTTGATTTAATAATTTTACACTTTGTTTTCTTACTTTTTAATTAGTTTTTGTGAGCACAGAACAATAGTATTGCTGCTGAGGGAGTCAAAAAAATATATTTGATTTCTTGTCTGCAGCTATTTTCTTTCTGGGACCGTAAACATTGGATAACCGTGACAAATACAAGATTCATTATGAGTTACTAATAAAAAGAAATATTTTTCTTTCTTTTTAAATAAATAAATAAACAAATTAAGACTTTGTATTATGGAAATCATCAGTCAATTAATTAGAAAATTACTCATTTAATAAAATGGCTATATCAGAAATTCAATCGTCTCCAGAAAAAAATTTCCATTCTTTCCATATATTGATATTTCAGTTTTCTGTTATTTTCTAGAAATTTGTATTTTTCTTCTTGTTTTGCATTGTTCTTTCTCCATTTTCTTTTTCTTTGGTGATATTTGAGGTTTGTCTGAAACCTAAACTGATCTTATATTAATAGAGATTGTGAAAATTAAAAAAAAAATGGAGGAATGAAAGGAAAGAAGAAAGGAAAAAGAGAGAACTATAAAAATAAGTCTGAAAATAATCTGGAAGGAAAAACAGAAATGACAAATGGGAGTTCTTGAGAAACAGAGACAAAAGATAAGAGTGGGTTTAAGACGAGGAAGAAAAGGAATAAAAATGAAATAAAGAATGAAGAAAATAATGAACAGGAATCTGAGTCTGAGATGAAGAAGAAAATGAAATAATTATGAAATGAAAAAGAAAGATAAAATGGATGAGAAGAAGGAAAAAATTAAAAAAAAGAAATGAAATAAATGAAATGCAAAAATGAAAATGGAAGAAAAATATGATAAAAAAACAGAAAGAACAAAGCCAGTGAAGAAAAATAAGATAAAAATGATTGAAAATGAAAAAGGAAACAAATAAACAAAATGGAAGAATAAGATAAAAGGTAAAAAAGGAAAATCAATAAAAAAGAAGAAAAATAGGATCAAAGAAAAAAGGAAAAGAGAAAAAGAAAGAATAAAATGAAGGAAAACAGAAAGAAAAAAGAAGAAAAATAAGATAAAATAAAATAAAAATGAGAAAAGAAAAGGAAGAAAGAAGGAAGAATAAAAAGTAAGAAAAAGTAAGAAAACGAAAGATAAAATAAAAAAGAAAGGAAAAAAAAAGGAAAAGGGAAAAAATGAGATTTGAAAAAAGCAAAAAAATATTTTTAGAAAGAAGTAAAAAGATTTTAAAATGTTCTGATCCTTTGTGATTTTGTCAGATTCTTGGAATGAACTTTATATATATATATATATATATATATATATATATATATATATATATATATATATATATATATATATGTAGCTAATATTAGTGGTAAATGTACACATACATATGCAAAATATATAAATACATATATATATATACACAGGTGCATACACATACATGTATATTTTTTGAATAAAAAATTCCAAGAGGATAGAAAGCAGGTAGAAATATATATATATATATGTTTAAATAAATCATTCCTACAAAAAGTAAATTATTAAAGTTAATGCTATAAAATGGCAAAATCCCTTCGTTAACTAAATTTTAAAGATACATTAACCCACAAATCACTAGAAGAATGTTAGGATCCTTGTTTTTTTTTAATTATAAACTGTATTAGGTCTTCCTTAAATACACATGAACTTTTGATGGTTCTAAACATTTTAAAATAACATTTAAAATAAAAAGAAAACAAAAAAAATGTATTTCGATTTGTATTATATTTTTTCATCTGAACTGTATGGCAGCATTCACCAACTTAAACAAGGAGATTGTCCAGAAGAGCTGCAGGAAATTCTGAAGACATCAGGAGGCCATGGTTGAAGTCAATGGTGATTTTATTGAATAAATTTACTCTTCAGTATTTCAAGATATTTTGTGTAATTTTGGTAAATCTATCTGTTATAATGAGATGTCACTGTTATTTTCATTTTTTGCGTAATTTAGATGGCATTTCATCCATTGCACTCTGTGTATATATATATATATATATATATATATATATATATATATATATATATATATATATATTGAGAAAGGGTAGAAATTAACAGAGAGTTATGTGAAAACCTCAGATAAATCAATTCGGACAGAGTAAAAGAGAGAAAGAAAGAGTTGTATGTGTGTCTGTGTATGAGAGAGAGTGAGAGAGGAAAGTTTTTGGTGATAAGTCGATTTGGTAAGTAGTATGTTTTCCATACATACAAATTAGGTAAATGAATAACTGAGAATGAGATAAATCATGTTAACAATTGCCATTTCTCTGGGAATAACGCTCTCACTTTTACTAATGTGTATAGAATATTGGCTGATTAATGGCAATTTTAAATTATACTGATTTTAATAAAGGAAGCAGTTATAGCTTCAGTGGAAGCAGCACTTGGCACAAAAAGAGCTTTATTTATGACTATGCTGATTCATAGGCTAAATCGCTCTAGTGATAAGTGTTAGATAAAAGTAACAATTTTATCTGTATATGAGAAATATTTGAATAAGAAGAATACACATTATGATCATGAATATAGTTTTATGTCATATTATTTCCTACATTTTTATTATATTCTAACTGATAATTTTCTTTTTTTTTTTTTTATTAATGTAGATTTTAATGCTTCAAATAGTTGGGAGGAACCCTGTCAAAAGATGAGATGCTATGTGGAAATCCACACACGGATTGCCACTTCGACAGTAGTGATGGTAAAACTGAAAAGGATGGAAGAGTAACATCGACTTTCAGACCAAGTCCAAGTGCTACTTGTGTCCATCTTCCATAGGGGTGTGAGATTTGAACACTCCTGGCTGAGACAGAAAAAATTTTTTTTTCAAGTGTTTGAGAACAAATATCTCCTGGGATCATGAAAGCAGTGATTGCGTATGGGACAATTTTTGAAGATATGTGGGCTTTTTTTCCCTATATTAAGCATTGGAAGATGGCATGGTTTGGCTACATCACATGGCATGACAGCCTCTGAAGACCATCATGCTCGGAATTGTTGAAGGCTATTTAACCCATAGATGTGGGAAAAAAAGATGGTTTCATGGTATTAATACAAAAGCTAATGCAACACTCAGATTTTGAATTCAGTTCACCAAGGTCAATCAAAGTTAGAGAGCACAGTCTACCTTGCTACTTAACCTATAGATTGGATAGAAAAAATGGATTCATGTCTTTCTCAACTGCTTTATTGTAAAAATTAATGCCATAGCACAGAATAGAATTGCTTTTTCTTCTTGTGAAGGAGAGTAAAGATGTTTCCCATTGACTTCCTCATGGGTCAGAGTTTTTCTTTAGCTGGACAGAGAAGAGATGAATTCATTTCTTTCTCAATGCCATGAATGCAAAGATGAATAGAATAAAGTTGAAAATAATTTCCCTGAATTTTTTGCAAAGATATTAGAGTGGTTTCCTGTTGACTTCTCCATGGATTAGAATTCAGAGTTTACCTTCTCTTAGACTCATTGCTATGCAAAGTGAGAGAGAGCCCAGTCTGCTACTTAACCCATAGTTGGGGTAAGAAGAGATGGATTTATGCTTTTCTCACACGTGAAAGTAAATGCAACAGACTAGGCCAGTATTTCAACTCGGCTCACCAAGTTCACCCAAGGTTGCCACCCAAAGCTTGAGACCTCATTCTATACTGGTAACCCACAGTTATAGGGTAAATGGATTCATGCCTTTCTTAATGACATTCATGTGACAGTGAATACAGCAGAGTAATCCAGAAATTGAACTAAGCTCACCAAGTCAACCCAAGTTTGCCAACCAGGACTAGAAGCCACAGTCTACCCTGCTATTTAAATCTTAGTTGTTGGAAGAAGGAATGTGTTCATGCATTTCTCAATGAAATTGGTGCAAAAATTAATGCATGAGAATATAATAATTTCCATGATATTTTGGGAAAGTGGAGTGCCTTCTCTGGGATTTAGAATTCAAGGTTTTCATTCTCTCAGACTGGCTGCAACGTAAAGTGACAGAACCAAGTCTACACTGCTATTTAACCCATATTTTGACAGTGACAAGAGATAGATTTATGCTTTTCTGACATGTGAAAGTAAATGCAACAGATTAGGCCAGCATTTGAACTTGTCTCACCAACTCCATTTCTGTATCAATAATCGCCACACCACCTGCACATCTATATTGTCTAAAAAAAAAAATAGAGTGACAATTTTTGTAGGAATGGATATTTTATGATTTATTCTGAAAGAAAATGTCTTTGTTCTAGCACATTAATTTTCTAAACCTAAAAGATTGAAGAATTTGTTGACAAAATGTTTGTCCTGTTCTCAAAAGAACACCTGAACTTTTTGGAAAACCATACAAATCAATTTTTTTTTCTTAGCAAGATCGAAAGGTTATGTTTTAAAAAATGACCATTTGACACTCAAGATTCAATAATCTAGTTACATATTGTCTTTTTAATATCCTGGGGCTTAGTGATATAAAAATTGACTTGCTTTCAAAGTCTGTTCTTTTTCAAATGAATTGATTTCTTTCGTTTAAAATTAATATTTCTTTTTTGACTATCTTGTGATTTTCAATATAATTTCTTACTTGAAAAATGCATCCCAAACTGAATAACCTTAAGATTATTTTTTGTTTGTTTCATTGCGTATGATGTCTTTAACTTGAAGCTATCAGAAATGGCAACTTTTACTTTGAAAAGAAAGGAATAAATATCAATTGTATAAACAGAGAATGCATGTCAGCAAAAGAGACAACTCAAGATGAAACTGATGAATTCAAGACACCAAAATCAAGCAAGTACAAAAATTTAAATAGACATGAAGTGTTTTAACAGAGGATGGAAAACAAGACACTGAAATCTGAAGACTCATTGGAATAATGGAATATGCTTTTCAAAAGCTAACCAAAATTTTGTTAGAAACAAGGAGAAAAGTACTGAATATCAGTCTTTCTCTATGGCAGCGAATGCTGAATAATATCCTCACAGATGAAAGAGAGACTTGAAGCAAGAGAAATGTGACTTTACAGGAGGATGGTGAGAATACCATGTGTTGAATATGTGAGCAACAAAGTTTTAGAGAAAATGAAAAGAAAACGGACTTTCATACATTGAAGGAGGTAGCTGAAATTTCTAGGGTACATAATGAGAAAAAACGGTTTGGAAAATTTGACACATACAAGGACATATTGAAGTCAGGAAGGAGAGTGGAAACCTACCTAAGAATTTTGTCTAAATGGTTTGCAGAATAGGCATTAAGTGAGATAGAAAAAAACGACAAAACTTGTTCAGAGCTACAAAGTACAGGAATTTGTGAAGAACTAAAGTGACATGATGCATAGTAGAAGATGTCTGGGTTTTGAAAAAGGAAAAATAGTTCTATTAAAGATGTTATGGTAATTTACGAAAACACACATGGACTCTCCCAGCTATAAATAGGAGCAGGTACTGCCTTTTATAGAGGGAAGTTTCCAGCAGTTAGCTCTGACAGTCGGACCAAATATTCTTGCTGGAACACTCTCAGAGTCTGTCTATATTTCTGAGATGAGGTATTATGTACATTATTTACATTATTTGGACTATTGTCCTCATCTTTGTCACCATATTTATTACAACGTTTCAGCCATTGTACACTCTGGCCTTCTTCTTCATGGCACGTGGAACTAGAACAGTCTACTCTAGTGAGTGAAATAAAGGGTTCAGTTCGACATTCCAACCACCTGAAGAAGGCCAGAGTGTACAACGGCCGAAACGTTGTAATAAATATGGTGACAAAGATGAGGACAATAGTCTGAATAATGTAAATAATGGAACACTCTCGTTTGTATATGTTTTGTATTACTGTTTTCTGTTAATATATTTGTTTAACTCAATTCCTCTCTTTGTGTCTTTATTTCTGGCCCTAACGAGGCCACAACAAAAGAGTATAGATTTTTGAAAATAATATTCTGTTTTAAATTTTTTAGGGAAGCGTAAAGAGACAGTGTTTTTTTTCTTTTTTTGCTAATGCTCACCTAACACAAGGCTCAAGAGTCACTCAAGGTAGAGGATTATTGAATGATGTTGAATGTGTAATGAGAGAAGGTAAGAAGTGTTGTTTATTGGGTTATATTGGAGTTAACCCTTGATATGAAGAGGTTAACATTGTAATAATCAGGAAAGCATCCTTTTGGAAGTTTGCTCCACAAAGTAGCAGTTGTAGTGAAGTAGATTTCCAAATGGAACTTCATCCTTACTAATGGAATATGAAGGGAATGAGGATGATTCGTGACCTGGCAGGTCCCAGCTGCAAAGAGCAGGGCTGGTAGAACCAAGGAACGTACTTCATCAGCCACAGAAATAACAGAAGTAGCGAGAAGCTTGGAATGTTTCATCTGTGAGAAAGGGGTTGTAGGGTTGAAAATAATTCATCACTCACAAGGCCATGTAGATACTTTTGAACTCAAGAGAGGCAAGTTATCATTTATTAACAAAACATTCTAAGACAATTCCACCAATTCACGGACTTTCAACTAATGCTTCTCAGTCTGTCATCAGCTATCAAATCTCACCCCTATCTCTTTTTAAAAGTTGAGCTATTGTGACATTCTTCAGATGGAATAATCCATTTATAATTATAGGTAACATCAACTATTGATCAAGACAGATAACAGCTGACCTTAGACTTGAAGAGCTTAAGATTGTAATAATCAAGAAAGCATCCTGTTGGGAATAGCAGTTCAATGGAAGAAGCTTTCCAAGTGGAACTTTCTCCTTACTAATGGAATATGAAGGAAATAGGGATGATTCCTCCCAGTGTATGTGGCATGGTGGATTTTAGCTTCAAAGGTCAGAACTCGTAGTGCCAAAAAATGTAGTTTATCAAAACATTTGCCATGCAAAATAGTGATAGAGTAGTGAGAAGCCTGAAGCACACATAATAAGGAAAGGGGGCTTGGAGAATTTGACACTCACAGGATGTATTGAAGACTGGAAAAACCAAGGAAAGCAGCCAGTAACCTACATAATGGGCTTGTGTAAATGAATGGATGGGCAGATTGGGTATTGGTCAGCAGCAAGAAATGAGAAATTAGAGAGCTGAGTTCAAATTCCAGATGTGTTTATTACATTCACTTATGTGCAAATATCATTGGGAAACTTATGAATCCATCTCTTCTCTCCCCTCAGCTATGGGTTAAAAAGCAAGACAGGCTGGTTCTTTAGCCTTGGTTGGCAACCAGGTTAGGAGAAGGA